TCTGATGAAGCTCAGCTGTGTGAGGAGCATGAGTCAGATTCGGAAGGCTCACACCTGGATGTGCTAATTGATGCTCGCAGGCGTCGTCAATTAGCAAGAGAAAAACAACAGCAGTCTATGCGACTACTCCAAAGTAAAAGGAGAAGGCAATGAGAGGCAACGCCCTGGGACTGCTGTATAAAAAGGGGAGGTGTGGGCAGTGCTGGTTGCTGAAGGCAACCATTTGCAAAGTGCTTCTTGGAATCCTGGTCTGTTCGTCTTGTTTGCAAGGTGTTCCTGTGGACTATTTCCTTCCTTTGGACTTGAGTTTTGCTGTTTGTGTTTTGGACTTATTGACAGGTTTGTCACCCAAATAAAAGGGATTTTGTTTTGTTTTAAAGTCTCCAGCCTATTGTATCAGCAGGGGTTTGGTCCTTGTGCCTCTAACAAGGACGGCAATAGGCTGGGATAGAACACCCCGGTGAAAGTTCTCAACTCATGTCTTGGCATCTGGGATCATCCAGGCTTTTGGTATTTCTCAACTAAAAGGGGGCTGAGTTATTTGATTGAATGGCTTTAGGAATGATCCATGTGGGCCAGGAAATGTCTTCGAGGGACACAAATGCTAGTCACTGTATGCCGTGGGAAGCCTGAAGAAGTTGGCAACCTTTGATTTTTAGATAAGCTTTCCAAGTTCAGACCCTAAAAATACGATGGATGCTAATTTCCTTCATCTCCCAAATTGTAGCCCAGCACACTGGATTAAGGAGTGGCATGGTGGCTCAGCAGTTAAGAAGTCAACTGGAAAGCTGGCAGCCCAAATGCTATACAACGGGCTGAACTCCCATCCTCACACCCCCCCCAGCTCCTGCCAACCTAGCAGTTCAAACACCTGTAAATACGAGTAGTTAAATACAGTAGGTACCCCTTTGGTGGGAAGGTAACAATGCTCTGTGACGTCATTCCGGCCACATGACGGAGAGCGCTGGCTCAATGGCTTTGAAATGAAGATAACACACACACACCCATAGTTGACAATGACTAGTGCAGGGGTAGGCAACCTTGGCTCTTTTATGATTCGTGGATTTCAACTCCCAGAATTCCTGAGCCAGCATGGCTGGCTCAGGAATTCTGGGAGTTGAAGTCCACGAGTCATAAAAGAGCCAAGGTTGCCTACCCCTGCACTAGTGGAATAAAATCTGCAGGGACTTCTTTACCTTACCTTTACACTGGATTAGAGAAGTTTATTTTAAGGGTGAGCTTAATTCCCATTTCAGAACTGACTAGTTCTATCTTCTCCACTCCTGTGGCTTTTGGCTATATTATGAAGTACTGTATCTCTAATTCTGCAGACAGACAGACCACAAAGTTTAATCTAAATGCAAATTATACTATGACCCTTAACTTTTGGGTTACTTTCCTTGTCAACTANCGTTTTTCAGCTCTTTTTCATTCAACTTTGTAGCACTGATTTCAATTTTTATCAGACTTATAATAGCCTGAACTACCTTGGATTAAGAATATCAGGATGGAAATGTTTAAAAAGAGGTATATGGGTTCTGCATGTATCTACATGTGTTTGTGGTGTTCAGTTTGATGATTGGCATTATTATGGTTTGCTGCATAGCCAGTCAGACGTTTAGACTGGATCTGGCATTTTTATCTCCTATATAAAATCCTTCCAAGGACCTGGGATAGGCAGATGTTGCTGCTTGATAGTGTTAACAAAATCATTGCAGGATGTAAGCTGTTCCAGCTAATGCTACCTTTTGCAATTGATTGATGGTGACTTTGTCAGTGCTGCCCAAATGCAGAGAAAGCGCAGAAATCTTGGACCCAGACCTCAGAATGAGCATGAGGGATCCATAAGGCTTTTAACTAATTCAGAAGTGATGATGGATTCTGCCAGTGTAGGTCTCACTCTGTAACCAAGCTGGCTAAGATAACCTTGGAGCTGGTGATGAGGACTTATTGAGATACCAATCCTAGGTATCTCCATTTATTTATTGAATAAATTGAATAACGTATTTATAGAATATTTTTCCCAATTTAACAACTGAGTTTGCATTGAAGGGGTATCCACAGCAAATGATCAAAATCTGCAAGATGAAGCATTACCCCTTTTTACATGCATGTAATAAAGGGACATGGTTTGGATCATGGCATTGCACCCACTACCAGCCAGATTTTGACCCTCTCTATGAATGCTGCTGGTCTGAACAATTTGTGTTTTAACGGAGTCCTTCCATCCATGCCTCTATTTAAAATTCAAGAGGAATTGTACTAAAACAATTCCACCTATTCTTAACTTTTCTTGTTTTGTTTTTACAGAGGCAGAAACGCTACAAGGAGGACATATTTGGAGCAACGTTTCCAAAGGAGAACCAAAGAAACATGGAAGAAATAAAAACTGAAAGACCCACAGAAGTCTTGGAATCTCAAGCCCAGCTAAAACTTTAGCTGTAACTTCACACTGAGGCCTTCTTTAGCCTCAACAGGGGTCCCCGAATATTGCTTTTGCAGCAGTATCTGCCAACGTGGACCAGTTGAGCAGGATTTGCACCACAAAACCTAATAGTTTGGGTTTTGGACAAAACACTACATACTGTACTGTTTTATTTAATTATATTTAATTCTTTTAGACTATGTATATTTTATTGGAACTTTTGTACCGATCACGTACTTTATTATATTATTATTTAAATTCCATTCTTGGACAACGGGGCAGCTTTTGCGGGCTGTTTTCACCCTGCTTTTGAATGTTCAGAAGAGAAAAGGCTAACCTCATTTAAAACCAAAAATTGGAACTGCTTACAGGTGCTTGCACAGGGGCATCCACAGGGAGGCTAAAAGCAAATCAAGATGACAACAGTAATCACATGATTGCGTGCACATCACACCTAAAAAAGGGACAGGCATTATTTATGCCATTGCAGTTGCCATCTTGACTTTTCTGACTTCCTCTATAGATGCTCCTGGTCTTCCATATGTGCCTAAGACAGTGGTGGCGAACCTATGGCACGGGTGCCAGAGATGGCACTCAGAGCCCTCTCTGTGGGCACGTGCGCCGTCGCCCCAGTCCTAGGCCTTCAGCTGGGTTTTATAAAACCTTTTCGCTTTAGGCCTCCACCGCCGTGTGCAAAAAAAAGAATGTTCAATGAATCAATCAATTTCAACTTCTCATGGGGGGAAAAAAAAGATCTTGCAAAGTTGGAATTGATTGATTGAACTTTTTAGTCCCACCCAGTCTGCCGTTACCACCGCAGCCACGCCCACCCAATGGGCCACACCCACCTAATGGACCACACCCACCCGGCACCCGACGATGCATAAGTGGGTTTTGGGTTGCAGTTTGGGCACTCGGTCTCTAAAAGGTTCGCCATCACTGGCCTAAGACATTGCTATTGGAGGTCATGTTTTCTAGGCCAGGGGTTGGTAACCTTGGCTCTTTTATGACTCGTGGACTTCAACTCCCAGAATTCCTGAGCCAGCATGGCTCAGCATGGAAACCTCTCCCTTTCCCCTCAGCATGGCTGGCTCGGGAATTCTGGGAGTTGAAGTCCACGAGTCATAAAAGAGCCAAGGTTGCCTACACCTGCTCTAGGCACATAAAGTTACAGGGAAGGGAGTGATCATAGCTATGTTGCTAGGGGCCTTTTTCTTCCCAAGGCTGAGAGAGAGAGACTGGTTGAAGTTCACCCAGCAGACTCTGTCCCCAAGGCAGGGCTAGAACTCACAGTCTCCCAGTTGTTAGCCAGTGCTATAACCATTACACCGAGCTGGCTCTCAACACATCACAACGCAATTTCACATTCCAATAGCATGCAAATGTTTTGTTCCCCCACTCCATCCCCAGTAGGTTACTGTTGTGACTGAGGGGAAGGGGAAGGCTTTGGATATATTAGTCACGATGTCAGCAGCTGGTCCAATGAAGAAATGTACAAAAGAGATGGTTTGCATCCATCAAAGAAAGGGACTGAGTTACTTGGCTATAAATTCACAGATTTTCTGGAGGAATATTTAAACTAAACAGCGGGGACAGTGAGCTAACTTTGAGAATTTCAACATGCCCAGCATTTGCTGAGATGGATTTGGTATTGATGATCCTAATCCTAAATAAGACCTCTGTCCCAAATGATGGACTATTGATTGTCCCACCCTGAATGTTCTCCAAGAGCCTGTCTTGCCCTTCTGAAGGAGCCGGTCTCTATCAGCACAGGGCAAATAAAATCAGATCATCTATTGACTTGAAGATGTTTTTGTCTCACTTCTTGGGGGGCTGGGAAAGATCAATGTGGAAGGAAAGAACTGTGCAACAAGACTTGAATAAACCATTTGTGAGTTCCTCACTGGCAGCATTCCTTCATTTTTCTGCTTGGTTGACTGAGTAAACTTTAAAGAAGTAATTGTCCCTCTTTGTCACAGATTAGCAGAATTCTCCAATCATTCTGTTAGTGTTCTCAGTGCTCTGCATGCGATGTCAGAGCTAAAATGCTGAAGAACCAACTCCAATTTTTAATTGATCCATATCCTGATAAATTTGGAGCTTCTTTTGATAAAATGGGTATCACCTCTACCACACACTGGGCTGTTTTTCACTGGGCCTTTTCCATCTGATCCCGTCCATCATTCTAAGTGATCCACAAAGTTGCTGGGCTGCAGTTCTTCACTGTCAGGGGAGTTGACCATCTCCATCCATCCAAATTTGTTATAGCTGCCCAACTCCAATAGAGTCCATAATAATAATAATAATGATAAAGTTGGAAGGGACCTTGGAGGTCATCTAGTCCAGGGCTTTTCAACCTTTTCACCCATTGTACCACTTTTAGGATATGGCAATATTCGAGTACCACCTAGCAAGGTGTCAAAAACTTGACCCCAAAAAAAATAAAAGGAAAAAAGTGATAAAGTACAGGTAGTCCTCGACTTACAACAGTTCACTTAGTGACTGTTCGAAGTTACAATGGCACTGAAAAAAGTGCCCCCAAGGCACAGCCGAGCAAGACACCTGCCTGCCCGCCTGGCAGCGCTCTCATTCCCCTCCCCCATTACTTTTCTAGGATGCTCACGTACCACCTGCCAGGTGCCAATGTACCACAGGTGGTACCCGTACCACTGGTTGAAAAGCCCTGATCTAGTCCAACCCCCTGCTCAGGCAGGAAACCCTATACCATTTCAGACAAATGGCTGTCCAGTCTCTTCTTAAAAACTTCCAGTGTTGGAGCATTCACTGCTTCTGGAGGTAGGTTGTTCCACTGGTTAATTGTTCTAACTGTCAGGAAGTTTCTCCTTAGTTCTAGGTTGCTTCTCTCCTGGATTAGTTTCCATCCATTGCTTCTTGTCCTGCCTTCAGGCGCCTTGGAGAATAGCTTGACTCCCTCTTCTTTGTGGCAGCCCCTGAGATATTGGAAAACTGATATCATGTCCCCCCTCGTCCTTCTCTTCATTAAACTAGATATACCCAATTCCAGCAACTGTTCCTTATATGTTTTAGCCTCCAGTCCCCTGATCATCTTTGTTGCTCTTCTTTGTACTCTTTCTAGAGTCTCAACATCTTTTTACGTCATGGTGACCAAAACTGGATGCAGTATTCCAAGTGTGGCTTTACCAAGGCATTGTAAAGTGGTATTAATAGTTCACGTGATCTTGATTCTATCCCTCTGTTAATATAGCCTAGCACTGTGTTGGCTTTTTTGGCAGCTGCAGCACACTGCTGGCTCATATTTAAGTGATTGTCCACTAGGACTCCAAAGTCCCTCTCTCAGTTACTACTATTGAGCAAGGTACCCCCTATACTATACCTATACATTTGGTTTTTCTTGTCTAAATGTAGAGCCTTACTTTTTTCACCATTGAATTTCATTTTGTTAGATAGCGCCCAGTGTTCAAGTCTGTCCAGATCCTCCTGTATCCTAAGCCTGTCTTCTGGAGTGTTGGCTATTCCTGGCCAGCTTAGTGTCGTCTGCAAATTTGACGAGTTCCCCATCTATCCCCACATCTATCCCCTCGTCCAGATCGTTGATGAAGATGTTGAAGAGCACTGGGCCCAGAACAGAGACCATGTAGAATAGTGACCTTCCTAAACCAGATGATGACTCCCCAGTCCCAGGAAGACCATTCTATTTGCTTCCTCCAAAAGCTATCATGAATAGCACATGGAGCTAGCTAGGCTGAGTTGCTGATCCCACATGAAACACACATGACAAAGAACAAATGGCACAGAAATGGCCAGTTTCCGCTCACTTGCTACTGTAATGAGGGCTGAGAAGTGGACCTCATCTTCTTCCAAACTATCTCCATTCTAAGGTTCAGCAGGAGGACCATCTGCTGAGATGACAACACTTGGGTTCCCCTGTGCAGGCCATTGACATGCCTGACCGACGCTTGTAAATTCAAAGAGATCGATGATTATTTTCTAAAGCTGTTGTAGGCTTTTCAGCAGGCAAAACGCTCTTTAATTCCTGCAACATCACCCAAATAAATTGGGCACTGTCTGTCAGGAACATTATTGGTAGTTGGCTACTGAAATTCTTTTCCCATTTACTTAAATCAAGAGTCCAAAGCAGGAGAAAGGAAGGCTATATTCCTGAAATTTCCATGTCTAACTCAGAACCAGATTTTCAGTTCACCACACTTGAGTCAGCAAACAAAACCAGATATGAACAAAACAAGTTTATTCATGCAATTAGATTGGAAGGGGAAAAAATCTGAACTTATATGTTTCTTAAACATGATCTGAAAGGAGCATTTATTCAAATTTTAGGTAGTAAAGCTCAACATTTTCCATCAATTGCACATCCATCCAAAAATGGGCCTCTACTGACGACTTTAAGCCTGGATATTGGTCACCATTATGTCTCCGTCCACTTCAAGCAGATTTATCTGGAGTAGATTATGTGTGCGATGATTGTATTCAAACTGATGCTGTCCATTCACAGCCACCTTGAAGCAGTGTGCTTCACACTGAATCCAGATCTACAAAGATAAAATGCATGTTTGTAATACCTTTAATGGGACCCCATAATATAACCCAGATATTTCAGTTATTATTTTATTTAATTTGTATCACAAATTACCCATTTTGCAGTCAACAAACCAGCAAATGTGTTTCACAGAGGCATCTGCAAAAACTGATGATCTCCTCAAAGTCACTAAATGATGAGTATTCAGAATAACTAAAAGTAACCATGATACAGATTTTAACTCAGTCTGAGATTTTAACCTAATACATGCATTAGTACTACACCCCAAATTTGGGTTTACCCTAAAACTACATTTCAATTTTATAAAATATTTAAATCAGAATAAATACATAGTAATATGGAAGAAATGTATATATTATATTATACTGTATTATTTATACACTGCATTATTATACGATATACTAATAACATATTGTCATATATTATTTTATTTGGCAATTTATGTTGTGCTAACCATGGTTCTGACACTCATTTCTAGTTCAAGTTTAACAGTGATTATTTGGTGATTAAATTGTGATTTGCTTTAGGTCCACCATAAAAATGGTTGTAAAATTGGGTCTGATAACATGATGGCTTGACTTATGACTGCACCAACATATGACCAAAATTCCAGTCTTAATTGTGATTGTAAGCGGTGCAGCTTTTAAGAGAGTGTTGTTGTATGGGCGAACCGAGGATTCTGAAATTCATGCATTAGGATAGCCTGATAAATGCAAACTTAAGTCAGTTCACACAATCATTTGGCCTAGGTTGAGCAACCAAACTGCTTTGACTTACGGTAAAGGGTTGGCCACGCAACAGAGGCATCCCACAGGGCAGGTGTCGCTCTTCTGAACCCCAGCGCATATTGAGGTTGGAGTTTCGAACAATCACGTTCTCATCAAACCGTGGATTGAGATGGAAAGCAGTATCGTTCCCCGCTTTCAGATTGATGTGGAACCTACATAAAAAGACCCAAATGTTGTGCCGCAGAATAAACAGGAGACCCCACATCCAGAAATGACACAATGAACATTCCAATTTCTGAAGATATTATATTGCTGATTCAAAAGCCATTATTTTTCTCAAAGGAAGTTCCCATGTGAACCTGGTGAGCAAGAATCTTTTTCCCAAATACCGTAGATTCTTTTTTTAAAGAGATCTGTAAAAAAGGGTTCACTTGATAGATAGATAGATAGATAGATAGATAGATAGATAGATAGATAGATAGATATAGATAGATGATAGTTGATAGATATAGATAGATGATAGATACAGATAGATGATAGATAGTTGATATAGATCAGTGGTGGCGAACTTATGGCACGGGTGCCAGAGGCGGCACTCAGAGCCCTCTCTGTGGGCACGCGCACCGTCATCCCAGTCCTAGGCCTTCAGCTGGGTTTTATAAAACCTTTTCGCTTTAGGCCTCTGCCGTGTCCAAAAAAAAAAATTCAATCAGTCAATTTCAACTTCTCGCCGGGAAAAAAAAGATCTTGCAAAGTTGGAATTGATTGATTGAACTTTTTAGTCCCACCCAGTCTGCTGTTACCACTGCAGCCACGCCCACCCAATGGCCCACACCCACCCAATGGGCCACACCCACCCGGCACCCGACGATGCGTGAGTTTTGGGTTGCAGTTTGGGCACTCGGTCTCTAAAAGGTTCGCCATCACTGATTAGATAGATAGATAGATAGATAGATAGATAGATAGATAGATAGATAGATAGATAGATAGATAGATAGATAGATAGATAGATAATATCATACACCATAATGCATGGAGGGTGACTAGTAATGATTCTTTATTTTTAATTGCACTTAACAAAAAATAAAAGTACACCAAAGTTCATTTTATCACACACAGTGCTTTTGGAATGGGTGTGTGCATGCCTGGGTGTGTGTCCTTTCCACTCATTTTATTTCATAGGGCAAGATAACAGATCTGAACAATGAGCTTTGATGACAAAGAGGGTTCATTCTGTCACCAAACTGGCGGTGGTTTTGGCTGGCCAACTTTGTTCCTGGAAGGAATAAATTTCAGAAGTATGGCCAACTCACTCTAGGAACACTGATGTTCATTTGCAATATCTCTTTATCATCTGTTGATGGAGCCTTGCTTTATTTATTTATTTATTTTTTCAAACATTTATTTATTTTTTTATCACTAAAGATAAAATACAAAACACAGAAAAGGATGGAGACTCACTTTACAGTCTGATAAATCTTATAAGCCGTCCAGAGCTATAGCAGTGAAATGGGTGGGCATATACATTTAATAATAAAATAAATGCAATAATAAATTACAGCCATGCAGCATTTTTGACTGAAAGGGAAAAAGATGCTTCACAGGTCCGTTCTGCAACTTCTTAAAATTGCAGCATCTTTTCTAGGAATCAGCACGATTGGGGGGGGGGGAGAAGCATGTTATTTCAGGAGTTACTGACGGGTGCAACATTAGCGCCCTCATGTGTTACAAAATAGTTTTCCCTTTGAATTCAAACTGCACAAATGATGCACAAATCTTCAGTCACTGTACCTACGTCACAATCAATTTGTTGGTCTTTAAGATGTCTCAAGAGTTTTTGTTACGTGTATGTACTTTACAGACATTTCAGGCTTATATTATAAATATTCTGGTAGATGATACCACTTGCATTACACAGTTGTCTCTAAGGTGCTTTTTCAAAAGGCAACTTAATTGTGCAGCCCCAAACCATTCATTCGAAAGGAATTCAGATTAAAATCGTGTGGAAGAAAATTTTACCAATAATATTTCTTAGTCTTTACCTCTGGGCAGAAGGGGACACAGAACCGGAGATTATTATTGATTTGGATGGAAAAAGGCCCCCATAGATGGTAGCTCGGTAAGGGAGAGGCTGTGGAGAGAATATACACACAAAGCATATTAGATTTAATCTGCCTTTCCTTTCCACTTTGCACCTTCAAATTATCAATCGGAGATCAACAAAGGCCAATTTTATAAGGATGTTCAATAGAGTGGGTCTGAAAAAAAATGTCAGATGCCACGTCATAATCAAATAGTTTTGGTCACCACGATGTAAAAAAATGTTGAGACTCTAGAAAGAGTACAGAGAAGAGCAACAAAGATGATCAGGGGACTGGAAGCTAAAGCATATAAGGAACGGCTGCTGGAATTGGGCATGTCTAGTTTAATGAAGAGAAGGACGAGGGGGGACATGATAGCAGTGTTCCAATATCTCAGGGGCTGCCACAAAGAAGAGGGAGTCAATCTATTCTCCAGAGCACCTGAAGGCAGGACAAGAAGCAACGGGTGGAAACTAACCAAGGAGAGAAGCAACCTGGAACTAAGGAGAAACTTCCTGACAGTTAGAACAATTAACCAGTGGAACAACCTGCCTCCAGAAGCTGTGAATGCTTCAACACTGGAAACTTTTAAGAAAAGACTGGACAGCCATTTGTCTGAAATGGTATAGGGTTTCCTGCCTGAGCAGGGGGTTGAACTAGATGATCTCCAAGGTCCCTCCCAACTACTACTACTACTACTACTACTACTACTACTACTACTACTACTACTTATTATTATTATTATTATTATTATTATTATTATTATTATTATTATTATTATTATTATTATTATTATTATTATCCCTGCCCTCTTTAATGTGCATGCTCATTCACATAAACAGAGGACAGAGCTTCTATTGACATGTTGACTGTTTTGACCTCCTCCTGGGGACATCTTTGATTATCCACCTAAGCACAGCCTTTTCCCCTGAGAAAGCACCCATGGTTCTTCCTGGTCATTGTTGTAAATGTCCACTGAAGGCCTTAGCCTCTGGCATCTTTCAGGTTTTTTTCCAGAGCATCAAGGCCGTACCGTGATTCACTTGCTGACCTCTTAGAATTCTTTTCAAAAAGTTTTCAAACTATTCAGATTTCCCACAATGCCCAAGGGGCCTAGTTAAATCTGGTGCATTATGGGAAATTCCAAAGATGCTCAAGTCCAACCCGCAGCACTGATTCCTTCCTATTGCAGCTCTTATTAGAAAAGATACATCAGATTACTAAGGTTGGGTTCATACTGGTTCATTTTTATTAGATATCTTAGATTTATGCCCTCCTTTTCTTCTGGAGCCTCAGGGGACATATATAACACTCCCCCCTCCAATATCTTCGCATAACAATGACACAATGAGGCTGGTTGAGCTGTGAGAGCACAGCGTGTCCAAAGCCCCCCATGGCAGGGGAGGGGCTTGAAGCGGAGTCCAGCACCTAACTGCTACCCACTTTTGCTCTCGCATAAGCTTAATCCTTAAGACATGTTAACAACTTCCAGTTGCTGAGTTCCCGTACCCGGCACAGCCTATATCAGGGATAGGCAACCTTGGCTCTTTTATGACTCGTGGACTTCAACTCCCAGAATTCCTGAGCCAGCCATGCTGAGGGGAAAGGGAGAGGTTTCCATGCTTAGCCATGCTGGCTCAGGAATTCTGGGAGTTGAAGTCCACGAGTCATAAAAGAGCCGAGGTTGCCTACCCCTGGCCTATACTAATCAACCACATTATGGCTGAATGCCATAATGTCAGGACTGCCATCATTTGCTTTTCACTTTCACTGTCAGTCTGCCATGAACTATGGGGTGAGGGAACCCAATGGGAGGGGGTTGACTACTTGGGGGAAAGTGAAACTAATGAAGCCAACTACTCATCATACCATCCAGAGGCACCAGCTCAAGGTCAAAATTCTGGGGATGGAATGCAATGGCTCCTCAACCTGCCCTTTAAAGCAACTATTCCCAAAACAATTTATTCAAATATAATTGGACAATAAGGGAGGGGGGGGGAGAGGAACTGGATTGGGAAAGTTAACCAGGGAATTTTGGCAGGCGAACTGTAGTTCTGGTTTTTGCTATACTGTAATCCACTTGGCTTTTTAGTAAAAGTATATCTTTCACTACAAATGGAGTTGAAGGTTTTTCTCGACTAAAGGACCAGGTCAGGGCAGGTTTGACTGTGATAACCTGATTCGCATAATGTGCAAACATGGTGACTGGGTTCTCACGCTGAGCCAAAATTCCTAACATGCTCCTTTGTGCCCATTTCAGAGGATTCCTACCTGAGTAGTATCAGATCCCTAAATGTGTGGGACTTTGACTCTCATAATTCCATGTTAGCCTAGGGTTGAAGTCCCTCATAATTGATGGGTTAGAAAAAAATGACTTATGTGCAAATATTGCTAATATGATAAAGACTTACATAAATTTGTTGCTGAAAGCATTGTCCAATGGGATAGGCATTTGGCTGTGAACAAAACAGAACAGCAGTCAGGATTTTACATGCAAAGATTGTTTGTTTTTTTAAATCCAAATATAAACATAAGCCAAACATTTATCAAAAAGCTTGGGAATCCAACAATTCTTTAAAGCAGAACTGATAGTAATTCCAACCCAGTAAGACATATTTTTAATCCTGGTTTCTCCTCTTCCTGCAAGAGTTAACTACTTCGTTTTGCCAGTTGCAAAATGTCTGCCATTCCAGTTACCCATAATGCCCTTTGACAACCTTACCTAGAAAATTTCAATAGCAGCTCACAGTGAGTACTCAAGTTCCCCCAAAGCTGCAGAGTATGGCAACATCACAGCCAGAATGCAAGGACCAGATCCAGCACGAGTAATAGTTTCCCAACCAAGAGCTCTTGACAGCTGTTGTCCCCGTGTTTCTCAACCTTGGCAACTTTTAAGATGTGTGCATTTTAATTCCCAAAATTATCCAGCAAGGATGAAGTTGAGTCCACACATCTTAAAGTTACTAAGGTTGACAAACACTGGACTGTGGACACTGATGCTAGTCTTGGTCTCAAATTCTTGGCAATTGTCTTCAAGCATTTCCCAACAACCCATTCTGTTTTGTTTTGAAGTTTGCATATTTCATTTATGTCACTGTTCATTTTAGTCCAATAGCTTTTGCAGATTTCACACCAGTTGAAAAACCTATCAGACCATTTTTAGCAGAGGCAAATTGGAAGAAATATGTAGGCATCCAGTACAATCCACAAAGACACCATGTGCCTCATGATGTCATTGCATATCTTCCCTTTTGTGTCAACTGTACAGTGACACCACACAATGGGCTGCAATTCATTTTGCAACTCTCAGCTCTCTAAAGCAGAACCCAATTGTCATCTATCCCTGCCAATGTTTATGAATGAAATCTTCCCGTTCCCATCTCTCTGTTTCCCAAAACATTGCTCAGTTGGTAGAGCCCTAAACAGCAAAGACTGTTATACTTTCAGCAGTTTGTATATATCTGTACAGGTAGTCCTCGAGTTACGAGTATAATGGAGCCTGCCCATTCCACTCGTGACTCGAAAACTCATAGAGTGAATCTCATACCTCAAACAAGACCACTCCCTTGCTCATTAAAACGCACGCAGCTCGTTAAGCGAACATGAGGTATCTCAGGGTGGGGAAGGCCATGGAGGGCCTAGTGCTGGAACAGGCCCCCAAGGCCTTCCTGACCCACTAGATACCGCATGCTTCCCCCTCCCTTCCTCCCGCGCCCGACTCATCTGGAAAAGATCTGTCTCCTCTCTGCTGTGGTTCCTGCTGCCGCCCAGATTTGAGGCTGGGGAACACTTCTGCGCCCCCCGCGGCCCGATCGGGCCTGAAAAACACCTCTGGAGCTGGGTTGGGCCGCGGGAGGGCATGGAAGCATTCGCCAGTCTTAGATCCAGGTGGCAGCAGCCTGGAAAACGTCTTTGGAAACCAGATCGGGCTGCAGTGGGTGCAGAAGCATCCCCTGGCCTTAGATCCGGGTGGCAGAGGCCTGGAAAATGTCTCTGGAGCCCAGATCCAGCCTCCTGAGGCACGTGGAAGCATTCCCCAGCTTCGGTTCCGTTCTCTGTTGCAGAGAACAGAGGCCTAAAGTACCATGAGATCATGCGAGATCAGTAGCGTGAGATCTTGCCCCAATGATCTCACGTGATCTTGCGTTCCTTTAGGCCTCCATTCTCTGCAAATGCACCGAAGGTCTGGAGCAGCCAAGAAAGCGAAGGATCTCGATCTTCGCAGGGTGAGTATTGAAGGCCTGGTGCCTAGGGAGACCCCAGGTGGGGGTGGGGAGGGAGGGAAGAACCAGGGTGAATGTTGCAGAGTCACTGCGGTCGCTCGTAAGGGCGAACAACTGCTGTGGTGCTGCAATATTCGTAACTTCAGGACTTGCTCATAAGCACTAGGGGGCGCTCATCATGCAACTTTGAACAAGCGTTAAGTGAACGCTCCTAACTTGGGGATTACCTGTATGCTCTTATTGCTCTCTAACATGTATTGAGCTCCACCTAGTGGCCAAAGATAAAACCTTTCATTATTTAGAAAGTTGCTTTTAGTAGTGTTTTGACCCTACAAAGTGCCCATCTTCCCATCCTCCCTCATTCTAGGGGGAAAAAAACCAGGTGCATCCTGAGAAGCCAGACATTCTGAGGAAACAGAATCACCTGCTTCCAGAACCCAGCCTAATCTGTGGTGCATGTTCATCACAGAACAAAAATCCATGTCCCATATACATAGCACTGCTGATGACTTTTGGACTTTATCCGTATTTGTTAATTGTTATGCTCACCAGCAACTCAATATTGTTTATTTTGTATTCAGGTTCTTAATGCATGTGTTTCTATTCTACCCCAGTTTCACCATCCTGTTCCTTTAATAAAGCATCAAGATCTACCTATGTGGTCTGGCTTTTTGAAGAATAAACGGTTTAACTCAGTGGTGGGATTCAAATATGTGAACAACCAGTTCTCTGTGTGGATGCTGCTTCCGGAAGTCCATTCTGGGTCTGGGCAACAAAAAAAATAGCTACCGGTTCTGCCGAACTGGTGTGAACCAGCTGAAACCCACCACTGGTTTAACTGCATGTTGAGCTACACACAAGGTAATGCAGGGGTCTTCAAACTTGGCCCTTTTATGACTTGTGGACTTCAACTCCCAGAATTCCTCAGCCAGGCACACTGGCTGAGGAATTCTGGTAGTTGAAGTCCACAAGTCATAAAAGGGCCAGGTTTGAAGACCCCTGAGGTAATGTGTAGTGAGGACAGAACAAGGGCCATACCACTTTGCTCTGCAGGAAAGGGGTGCAGTTATTCAATGTGACCTGTCTAAGCAAAGACCAACAATAATAATACACATTAAGATCAATATCTAGAGTCTGTCTTACAATATTATTTAACCTGCGGGATGAGGGATTGTATCTCTATATAGGTAGACCTCGACTTATGATCGTAACTGAGACCCCATGCAGCAAATGTGGCAGGCATTTTTTGCTAGAAACTGGAAGTTAACTCTAGTTTCCTGCAAAAACATAAATCGTGGTTATATGATCAAGGATGCTGCAAATGGCCATAAATGTAGGCCTGTTGCCAAGTGCGCAAAATGTGGTTATGTGAATGTGGGTGCAGGAGGGAGTGATGTTGGAAATTAGAATCGGGATCATAAGGAGCTTTTTTGGATTCTTCTGTAACTTTGAATGGTTGTTAAGTCGAGGACTACCTGTTAATATCTCAGAACTAATTCAGGCCAAGTATGTTTAAGTTAACCAGATTATTATTATTATTTTTATTTGTTTGCTTGTTAGATCTTTCGTTTAGGAGCATTCCTTTCCCCCAAGTCTCTACTACAACAACCCTGTGGGGCAGGTTGGTCTGTCAAACAATAGGTGGCCCTATGTCAGGGGTAGGCAACCTTGGCTCTTTTATGACTCGTGGACCTCAACTCCCAGAATTCCTGAGCCAGCCATGCTGAGGGGAAAGGGAGAGGTTTCCAAGCTGAGCCATGCTGGCTCAGGAATTCTGGGAGTTGAAATCCACGAGTCATAAAAGAGCCAAGGTTGCCTACCCCTGCCCTATGTCATCCAGTTTTGAAACTGGGATTTTCTTAGTCTAACACAGGGGTCTTCAAACTTGGCAACTTTAAGACTTGTGGACTTCAACTCCCTGGCTGGCTGAGGAATTCTGGGAGTTGAAGTCCACAAGTCTTAAAGTTGCCAAGTTTGAAGAGCCCTGCTCTAACATCTTAATCACTTCACCACACTGGCTAATACTACTTCATCTTATTTCTCTAATTCCTTCTCCATGGTGTAAGAACAATTACTAGAGGGGAGAAAAAAGGAGACATTTCCATAGATTTCTTTCACTTTTTTTTTTTTTTTTAGAAAAGAACTGTACGTCATACCTGTGAGAATGTTGGGAAAATTGGGTTGGAACAAACTGGATAGGTCTGGGGAAAAAAAAACAGAATAAAAGGAAATTATATGAGCAAGTATCAGAAGGAAGAGCAATCTCTAGATCAGTCTTTCTGAACCTGAGCAACTTTAAGATGTGTGGACTTCAACCCCCAGAATTCCTCAGCCAGTGAAAAACATTTCTTAGATAATACAGATAGTGTTGCTTAATGAGCAGTCATTTAGTGACCGTCCAAGATTACGACAAACCCCCCCCCCCGAAGGTACTTATAACCCGGTTTCTGAGTTCTGACAGAGGTATACATACACCTCTAGTCACATGACCACATTTTGGGCACTTGGCAACTGGCTCACTTTTCATCAGTTGCAGTGTTCCATGGTCACGTGACTGCAATTTATTTTTTTTGCGGGTTTCCAGACTTTTTGGCTGGTTTCTGCAAAACACGCCCATAGGAATGGACTCACTTTACGACTGCAGCTTTCACTTTACAACTGCTGCGCTTGCTTAACAACTGTCACAAAAAAAGTTCGTAAAATCAGGTCAGCCGTGAGTGCCTCAACTTATGACTATCGTGGCTTACGACAGAAATTCTAGGCTCCATTACAGTCGTAAGTTGAGGATTGCCTGTAATTACAATACAAAAATGTGGTACTTTCTGATATCTTCTCGCAACAATCCCCCTAAAATTCAAAAGACAGAGAGGTGCTCCCCCCAAAAAATCAAGATGGCGACTAATGACATGCCATCACAATTGTGTCTCCATTGAAGTGCATCATGTCTGTGACATACATAAGGGATTGTTGACATTAGGCCATTATCTTGACCTTTTTTTTAATCTTCCCCCAATAGCAATAGCACTTAGACTTATATACCGCTTCACAGTGCTTTACAGCCTCTCTAAGCAGTTTATAGAGTCAGCACATTGCCCCCAACAATCTGGGTCCTCATTTTACCGACCTCGGAAGGATGGAAGGCTGAGTCAACCTTGAGCCGGTGAGAATCGAACCGCCAAACTGCAGGAAGCCAGCAGTGAGCAGAAGTAGCCTGCAGTACTGCATTCTAACCACTAGGCCACCATGGCTCATAGTTACTGTGCCAAATCACTCAGGAAACTGTCAGGAAATCTTTGCATTATTCAAAGACTGGAAGGAAAGGGGAAAGACATATATATCCCCTGTCTATAAATTCTCCACACATTTAATCCTAAGAAAAATAAGTGTACCCGTTTATCAGAGGGAAGGTAGGAGAGGTGTTTTATCAATAAAATGAATCAATAAAATACATACAATTGGACCTTGGAAGCTGATTGAGACCACATCTAGTTCTCCTGATATTCCAATGGTATCTACCCGGGAAAGAGGGATCCTGTGCTTGAATTCCAAATATTGCTTTCCATCTACAAGAACCTGGCACACACAGAAGGGAGCAACTTGTCATATCAAGTCACAACAAGAACAACAACAACAGAGAAGGAATTGTCTGTGGAGATTCTCGATCATCCAGCAATAGCACTCAGAGTTATACACTGCCCCATGGTGCTTTACAGAACTCACTGGATGGTTTACATTACAATGTCAGCATATGGCCCCCCCAACAATCTGGGTCCTCACTTTACTGACCTCAGAAGCATGGAAGGCTGAATCGACTTTGAGCCAGTCAGGATCGAACTCTGTGGGCAGAGTTAGCCTGCAATACTGCATTCTAACCACTGCGCCACCAGGGCTCCAGGTCATGGTTGTCCCAAAGGTGCTTTTTCCAAGACTTCTTTGTTTTTTTCTTTTGAAAATGTTTCGCTTCTCATCCAAGAAGCTTCTTCAGTTCTGATTGAGAAGCAAAATGTTTTCAAAGAAAAAAACCCAAGGAAGTCCAGTTGCCTTTTGGAAAAAGCACCTTTGGGACAACAGAGAAGGAACAAAAACAACGATTGAACCCACCTAACAGGCTAACCCATTATAGTAAGCTATGAATAAGGCCAACTTGAAGGTCACAAACCATGTTTTAGAAATGACTAGATTCCCCCAAAATACTTAAACCAAGTTGAGATTACTGGTGATCCTTGACTTACAACCGATTGCTTAGTGATGGACCAGCCAAATAGTACTTACAACCTTGTTGCAAAGTTACAAAAGCCACCTTTCTCTCTCAATTGTGTTTTGGGCACTTAGCAGCCAGTCTGCATTTACAGTCTTTTGCAATGTCTCACTGTCATGTGACTGCGATTTACGATGTTTATGTACAAAATCAGCGTTTACTCCCAATTTTCGGCAAAAATGGCCCATAGTAAAGAATGGGTTCTTAATGAACATTGGAAAAAAGGCCGTAAAAACAGGTCCGATTATGTGATGATCTACATTATGACGGTCACAACCTATGACCATAATGGGCAGGGTCCATTGGGAGACTGTATGGAACATTCAAACATAACTTGGTAAGACCCTCAATGAATTGCTCTGTGAGGGAGATGGTTTTAAATTGATAAATAAAAATAAAGACGAGATCAAAAGAAAGTCTGATCAAAGCTCAATGGGTTTATGTGTGCATCGATGGGGCCCATTTTACCACTTGAGATAGCAGTTTTGCACTCAGCAAGGGATGTTTTGAGACATTTTGTATTTCACACATTTTGGAAAATGCTTTTCTAGTGGTACGAAGTAAAAATCGATGACCAAACTATTTGTATGTTTTAAAAAAGATGACGATTAAAACCCATAAAGAGGACCCATCGTCTTCGTACCACATAGGAGTTGATTTTCACAAGAAATCGGATCTCAAAAGGATGTCCTTTGCGGAAAACCATATCATATTTCCTTTCTTCTTGCTGCCAGCCGCCCTTTTCGTGTGAATTGCATACAGCACAGTTCTCATCAAAACGGACGTTGAAATGGAACGCAACATCTGATCTAGGCATTTGGCAACTGCCACACTGGAAGTCAACCTGGAACCTGCACAGAGAGCAAGAAAGAGAAATAATCTGGATGAGGACCAGGCGGTATTCAGGTAAATTGAAGAAAGAAGAAGAAAGAAGGCCCTGGCAAACCAGTTACAAATCATATTTTTATTCATTTGTTCCACTCTACCAGTGTTTCTCAACCTTGGCCACTTGAAGATGTAAACAACTTCCAGAATCCCCAGCCAGCATCTGAAAGTTCCCTAGGTTGGCCACCATAGGCTTAAAAGGCTAAACTTAATCTGTGTCTTTGGAACAATCTTGAACTGGACACACTCAAAACTGTAGAGATGATAGTAGATTTTAAGAGAATCCTGTCATGGCCCCATTGGAACCCAGTGCACAAGCCAGAAAGAGGGCTGTGAAAATATCTACAGACCCGACATATCCTGGACACAAACTGTTTCAACTTCTTCCCTCAAGACGACGCTATAGAGCATTGCACACCCAAACAACTAGATACAAGGACAGCTTTTTCCCCTATACTACTACTCTGCTAAGCAACTAATTCCCACAACACTGTCTTATGCCCCTGGGATGTCAAAATACCCTAGTAGGGCTGTATTACTATTATCCTTCTCATCTTTCCTGTTACCTATTTCCTTAGCTTCTTACGACTGTTACTTTGTTGTTTGTATCTTATTGATTTATGTCGATTGTTTTTATTTAGTAGTCTAGTGTGATTTATGTTTTGCTTATTTAGTATCCTATTACTATCATTGAACTTATGACTTATCACTTTGTTGCTTGTATGTACACTGAGAGTTTATGCACTGGAGATAAATTTCTTGTGTGTCCAATCATACTTGGCCAATAAAGAATTCTGTTCTGTTCTGTTCTGTTCCATTCCATTCTGGGCTAGGCTAGGCTATTCTTATTTTGCAATACAAACCCACAAAAATAGGTGCTGAAATTTCAAAGTGAGACACCCTTCATTCAAGTAGTCAACTTACAGCTAGCTGCTTAGCAATTGTTTGAAATTACAATGGAGCTCCACAGGGCTACTTATGACCCAATTCCAAACTATGAACAGTTGCCAGGCCACATGAGTTCCATTTTGGGCATCTGGCAACCAGCCTGCATTTATAGCTATTTGAAGCATCCTGTGGTCACATGACCATGTTTTATGACATTTTTGCTGAAAACTAGCAGTTACTTTCACAGTTTTGGGCAAAATCAGTCTATAGTGAATGATTGGTTCGTTTAATGATTGCTGCAAAAAAAACCTTGCAAAATTGGGTCGGTCACACGGATAACCTGCTTTACAACCATCACAAAGACAGGCTTCATTACTGTTGTAAGTTGAGAACTATCTGTGTTTCTATCATGTGCATAAAGAGACATGCTCCTTGTTTAATTTTTAAGATTTTCAAACAGATTTAGTTGAAAGACATCCATTTTTATTCTGTACAACACTATACAATTCTACACTTTACAGCAGGGATGGGGGACCGTGGCCCTTTTAGGACTTGTGGACTTCAACTCCCAGAATTCCTGAGCCAGCCAGGTCCACAAATCATAAAAGGGCCATGGTTCCCCAACCCTGTTTTACAATATGAATGTGTTGGGAACGGGTTGTTTAAGAAGTGTTTGTATCATAAAGCTACGTGAATGAAGGTTCCAACTGACCAGCAATTTCTTTGTATTTATTTGCAAAACTTTAAATCTGTCAGAAAAGCATCATTTTGTCTCAGAACTCACTCCCATCAGTGCCCAGATGGTAGATGATAGTTATACAACACGGACTGAAAGGTCCAGTTTGTTCAGAGATGGAGCTGTCTTCTAGTTGCGGCTTCACTGGTTCCATGGCAGCCCAGATATTTTGAAAAGGTTTGGATTTTTTGATGGATCTTCCCATACCCTCCTTTTCACCTCCACTTGAATGACTCACCTTTTGCAGGACTTCAAAACACTTCCGGAGACTAATATGGTCATCCCATCTTTGAGGCCACCATAAATCGGACCGCTAAAAGGAACACTCTGACCAGAAGTTAAAAGAAAAAAAAATAGCCATTAAATGCAGAATCTGCTGCAGTTCAAAGATATTAATTCAACTGGTTCATGAATAAATGCCTGGGAAATATAATAGCATTTTTGCCCCCATCTGCCCCCGAGAGGCTTTAAAACACTTTTTCTCAAGCTCAGAACTTTCAAAATGTATGGACTTCAATTCCCAGCATTCCCCAGGTCGCTCACCAGTAATGGTTTGCCCAACAAAGAGCTCTTGACAACTCTTAAACCAGTATTTGTCAACCCCTGGGGCACTTTAAGACTTCATCTCCCAGAATTCCACGGACAGAGTACTGCCTGAAGAATTCTGGGAGTTGAACTCCACGCCTCTTAGGATAGGATAGGATAGGATAGGAATAGAATTACCTGGCTCAACAATACTAACTGTGAGAGGGATCTAGGAGTCCTAGTGAACAACCACTTAAGTATGAGCCAACAGTGTGCTGCAGCTGCCAAAAAAGCCAAACAGTTCTAGGCTGCATTAACTGAGGGATTGTATTAAGATCACATGAAGTGTTAGTACTGCTTTATACTGCTTTGGTAAGATCACACTTGGAATATTGCACCCAGTTTTGATGTATTATAATGATATAATGATATTTATAATGATATAAAAAAGACGTTGAGGCCCTAGAAAGAATGCAGAGAAAAGCAACAAAGATGATTAGGGGACTGGAGGCTGAAACATATGAAGAATAGTTGCAGGAATTGGGCATGTCTAGTTTAGGACTAGGGGTGACATGATAGCAGTGCTCCAACATCTCAGGGGCTGCCACAAAGAAGAGGGAGTCAAGCTATTCTCCAAAGCGCCTGAAGGCAGGACAAGAAGCAACAGATGGAAACTAACCAAGGAGAGAACCAACCTAGAACTAAGGAGAAATTCCTGACAGTAAGAACAATCAGTGGAACCACTTGTGGGTGCTCCATCACCGGAGGTTTTTAAGAAGAGATTGTCCGGAAGGGTATAAGATCTCCTGCTTGAGCAGGGGGGTTGGGCTAAAAGACCTCCAAAGCCCCTTCCAATTCTCTTATTCTGTATTCTGCTTATGGGTCAAATCATCTGGTGACACTTCAGCGATGTCAAGTATGACCAAATTAAAAAAAAACAAACCAACTTGCAATCCCCACCCTTCTTGCAACACTCTATAATTAAGCTAAGCAAGGACCAGCTTGAAGCAGTCTGCAAGCAGCACTCACTGGAATGGGGAGGGGGGGGCAGTGACAGGAGTCAGTAGAATGGGGGAGCAAGGGTCCCCCCCCACCACCTCCTTACCTACCGTTAACCACATGCTGTTTCTGCAAGCCCCCCGGAGGATAATCTTTGACTTATTTTCGCTTTCTTATTTTTTACGCTGGAGGTGCTGCGTGGGGAGCCCCTTTCCTGCGTCTCTACTTCCCTGTGCTTGGGACACAGTTGATTTCCGCTCAAGCACTTGATAATGAAACTGCTCCACCCTTTTCCACCCTCCCCCTTCCCCAGCTTCACTCCTCCAAGCCTGCAGCAGCTGCTTTGCAAAAAAGAAAAAAGAAAAAGCTGGGAAGCAGCACTCTCTCTTTCCAGGAATGCCCACAGACAAATCTTCCCAGAAATGATCAAATCCCCATGGAAGGGAGAATAAGGATTATACCCATCACCACACCAGGCTGTTCATTTTTCTTCGATCAGTGTGTGTGATTGGATATATTTAGTGAGTGTTTGCATTTTCATAAATTGGACCCGTTGCTCGTGATTTATTTTCTCAAGTGTTTAACCCACTTTTATTAGGTTTATAAATAACTAAATACTAAAAAGCAGAGACGTCACCCTGCCAACAAAAGTACGTATAGTCAAGGCCATGGTTTCCCCAGTTGCAATGTATGGCTGTGAAAGTTGGACCATAAGAAAGGCTGAGCGCCAAAGAATGGAGGCCTTTGAACTCTGGTGCTGGAGAAGACTTCTGCAAGTCTCTTGGACTGCAAGGCGATCAAACTGGTCAGTCCTAGAGGAGATCAACCCCGACTGCTCTTTAGAAGGCCAGATCCTGAAGTTGAAACTCAAGTACTTTGGCCACCGAATGAGAAGGAAGGACTCACTGGAGAAGAGCCTAATACTGGGAAAGATGGAGGGCAATAGAAGAAGGGGACGATAGAGAATGAAATGGCTGGATGAAGTCACTGAAGCAGGAGGCGTGAGCTTCAATGGACTCCAGAAGATGGTAGAGGACAGGAAGGCCTGGAGGAACGTTGTCCATGGGGTCGCGATGAGTTGGACACGACTTCACAACTAACAACAACAAATAACTTGAGGTGGCCAGCATGATCTAATAGTCTTTTTTCCTCCAATTTTGTTTGAAAAAAGGTTTGAAAGTAAACCTTCGCTTGCTACAAAATGCCAGCTCAGATCCTCGTCCAGCAAAGTTCAGAGTTAGAACATCAAACATAGAATAATAGGGTTGGAAGGGATCTTGAAGGTTTTCTAGTCCAGGGGTCCCCAACCCCCGGTCCATGGCATGCCAGAAACCGGGCCGCCCATACAAGCAAAACCCCATCCGTGGGATCAGGCAGCACATGAAACCACAGCCCCTCCAGGCCATGGGAAAACCTCTCGCTACAAAACCAGTCCCCGATGCCCAAAAGATTGGGGGGTCGCTGTTCTAGTCTAACCCTCTGCTCACGGCAGGAGATACCATCCTGGACTTTCTTTGGTCTTGGAGAACTCATCTGGTTCTCCAGTTCATTTAAGCATTTCTTTATCAAAATAATTGGCCTCTGCCCCCCCCCCCCGTTTAATCAGCCTTACAGTTCTTATCCAATCTTATCTTATAAGATTAAATTAAATGGCTTTTCCTCACACTCCTGATAGCCGGATTTTGAGCCATACAAAAACTCTGCTTGTAAGAACACAACAGTAGACCTGGTGGACCACATAATTTTATTTTGTGAATTGTATTCTGATCTGAGACAAACTAAGGCTAGACTAGAACTCACAGTCTCCTGGTTTCTAATCTGGTGCCTTAACCGCTAGACCAGCGGCTCCCAACCTTTTCTATACCCCGCACCCCTAGAACGCTTCTGATATATTCTCGCACCCCTTACAAACGTTTGAAATAATGGCAATGAATTATGCATATACACCAGTGTTTCTCAACCTTGACAATTTTAAGGCATGTGGACTTCAACTCCCAGAATTCCACAGCCAGCAATGCTGGCTGTGGAATTCTGGGAGTTGAAGTCCACATGCCTTAAAATTGTCAAGGTTGAGAAACACTGATATACACTATAATTTTGAAAACCCAAGTTTTCGCACCGCCTGGAATATCATCTCATACCCCTGGTTGGGAACCCCTGCACTAGACAAAGTCGCTCTCAGAAAAAGATATGTGGACTTCAACTTTCAAAATCATGCTGGCTGGGGAATTTTGGGACCTGAAGTCCATACAATTAAAGCATGTTTTGCTGGGGAATTCTGAGCCGAAATTTATTTATTAAATTTTTATGCCACCCATCTTCCCTAAAGGTGACTCTGGGTAACTTGCAAGAACTCCACACATCTTTAAGCTTGACTGGCTGGGGAAATTTGGGAGTTGAAGTTCACACGTTTTAAAGTTGCCTAGGTTGATAAAAACACCACCTTAAGAGATTTGGAACAGCAGGATGATTTGGCCAAAAGGGACTTTTTAGTTTTTGAGTTTACTACAAATCAAGCAAGTTCCCCTCCCTTAAAAAAATTCCCCTTACTGGGAAGGGAAATGAAACAGACCATGTGCTTGAAAGGAACTGAAACAGAAACCACAGAAGTCGGAAGGAGGTGACTTTGTGCAAAAATGATGTTATGGCAGTTGATGCTGTCTGCAACTGTTATTATTGAGTGATTTGATTTGTGCGGCTGCCCATCTTAAAACACAACTCTGGGTGGCTCACAAGAAAAATAAAACCCAGAACTAGATCAATCATAAAAATGTTCAATTATAAAGTCATGCTTTAGACCCCACCCTTTTGTTCATACTTCAAATGCTTCAATAAAGCACTTTTTGCAACATCATGGATATGTGTTGCATATACACAGCTCTATGCAGGTGTTTGGTATGAAAGTGTGTATGTTGTATAGGTAGGGCGAAAAAAGAAGGCAGAAGCTGCCAGGGAGGGGACTGTGAACTTCTACTCCCAGAATTCTCTAGCGAGCCATTCCCTAACTAGGGAATTCTGGGAGTTGAAGTCCATAACCTCTTAACATTGCCGAGGTTGACTAACATTGAGTTAGAGGCCTGAACCAAGATGCCATCTTAAGGGTAGAAAAATGGTGCCCTCTCTGGAGCTGAGAAGGAGTTAAGAAACACTGTTCTAAACACAGCAGCATCATTGCTTGATCTGTGAGCATGTATCTTGAAGGAAACAGGCCAATATCTCCATCCTTAAGCAAACAACTTAGAATAGAGATGGAAGGGAACTTAGAGGTCTTCTAGCCTAGCATCCTGGCTCAATTGTCCTCATTATTAGAAAGTTTCTCCTTAATTCCAGATTGCTTAATTGTTGTTGTTGTTAGTTGCGAAGTCGCGTCTGACCCATCCCGACCCCATGGACAACGTTCCTCCAGGCCAGTGTTTCTCAACCTTGGCAACTTTACGATGTGTGGACTTCAACTCCCAAAATTCTCCAGCTAGTGTTGCTAGCTGGAGAATTTTGGGAGTTGAAGTCCACACATCGTAAAGTTGCCAAGGTTGAGAAACACTGCTCCAGGCCTTCCTGTCCTCTACCATCTTCTGGAATCCATTGAAGCTCTCGCCTACTGCTTCAGTGACTCCATCCAGCCACCTCCTTCTCTGTCGTCCCCTTCTTCTATTGCCCTCCATCTTTCCCAGCATTAGGCCCTTCTCCAGTGAGTCCTTCCTTCTCATTAGGTGGACAAAGTACTTGAGTTAATTCCAAACAATCAATTAACAATTAATTAATTAATAATTCCAAACCAGACAGCCAGTGTACAGGAAGTCTGACCGGTCACTTAATAACTGCATGACAGACATTCAAAAGGGTGTTTACAATGCAAATTCAAAGTTCTGACTGACACACAGACATACACACACACACGTCATATGTTTGCGTTGAGGGTGCTTGGCAACCAGCCCGTATTTGCGGTGGATGCCAAACTAGAATTTTATTTTGTTTGACTTCCTTAGTATACACATTTAATAAATTATTACTTTTACTTATGCAGTTATTAAAATTCACGTGTCACCCTTCAGAAACAGGCTTTTCATCAAGTGTCAGATAGCTCCAACAAAGATAAAGCAGCTCCAAAAGAGGAAGAACAATTTTAGAATCAAGCCTTTTCATGAACCCGGGAAATGTGTTTTGCCACATAATTTAATTTTTGTTCCTGTATTGATAAGCTCAGTAGGATTCGGCTGATTGTTTTTACTATGTTTCCTAAGTTTTAAAGTATTACTTTGGATTTCTTGCTTGGAAAAGATAAAAATGAAGCTTTAATTTTTGGATTTGTTATGATTATAGAAATACTGTGTATTTATTGGACACACACATGTATTATACCTAGGTGTAAACTTGGAGTAAGAATTATTTTCTTAAATAATTCTATTTTGATGTCTAATTGGTTTATCTGATGTTTTCGTGCTTTTATTTTAATTAGGAGTAAGAGATTATTTTTACTACATATTTACATCTGTACTGAAGAAAGTGCCAAGTCAATCTCTCTATTTTGTCACTTTTTAACTTTCCCCCTCTTTTTGATCTCCTTTCATGTTTTTTTCCTTTTTTTTGTTATTTTGTATTTCATCTCTCTTTGAAACTTAATAAAGCCGATTTAAATAAAATAAAATAAAATATTACATAAAAAATAAACTCCTGCTTCTGCTGGGGGGGGGAGGGGGGTCTCCTGCTTGTGCAGGGGGTTGGACTAGAAGACCCGTAAGATCCCTTCCAACTTTGTTATTCTGTTAAATGACGGGTGAATTGTGTTGTAGAAAG